ACATCAGTGTTTCATTTGTATTTTTTCTGTATAGTTAGTTTTAGCTTTTTCATTTAACAGTATGTAATGATAAATTCTCAGCTACGTGCGTAGTAATTTTTCTTATTGGATGGCAACGTCCCTGAAAAAAAATTACTTAGTCTCATTTTACGGAGACCGTTCAAAAAGTTCCCGAACCGATTTTCTTTTTAAAAAGTAAAAGACTTTACAATGTTGGACTTGTTGCCTGTTTACAGACCTCTATCAATGGACATTACGAGCTTTGATCGATAAAACATTTTTGTGCTAGAATAACGTTTTTTTAGATCACATTTGAACAAGTGGTGCAGATTAAATAACACACAGTATTTTGTTTATACTTTTCCACTTTCATTCTCAAGAGCCAATCTTTTTTGCAAAAGATACGTTTTGAAATTCTCTATAAAAACCGTATTGAACGTTTTGCTACAAAATGTAAGTATACTAATAATAGTGTTCGAATAGTGTTCCATTCTGATTTTCCGAGCTTTTCATTCCGAACAATCGGACTTTTTCAAAAAAAGGGAGATCGGAACGGACTACTCTGTCAGATGTCCGGAAGAAAACATAGGGACGAAAAGGGACGATACAGCGACATTACCACGAAGGCTTGCTTATTGGAAAAGACAAATAAATGAGGCCGGTTTTGTATTTTGTACATCATGTTTTCACTTAACTGAAGGTATGTGATGACTTTATCTAATACAGTCACAGATATCTAGTTTCGCATCATGAAAATATGTTTTGTGTGAAACTACTTTTCGAACTCACTCTCACAATGCTTTCAAAAACGATATACAGAATACAAAATCAGGCTCATTTCTTCTTCTTTTCCAATAAACGAGTCTTCGCGATAATGTCGTTCGCGGCAATGTCGTGTCACGAAACGGGCGCGGTCCTAAAATCTCCGAGAACGTTGAGACTAGTGAGAAACTACTATACATTTCAAAATATAACGGCCCATGACTATTTTTGAATAAGTTTTGATAGATAATTATTAAAATTTTATCGACTTCTGAAAATAGCAACTTCTCGCCTTGGGTGAATGATACAGATAGTGGCTCTTAGAGTGTACTTTTGAAATCCTACAAAAAAGTAAATTATTTTAATTTCATGTAGAAAACATAATTAATTTAATATAAACTCAATACACGCTATTATCATGAGAAAACAAACAGCTGTATTAGTTTTTATTTAACTGTTTCTACTATATACGAACCAAAAATACAGAATTTGGCTTTACTCAAATAAGAATAAAAGTTAGGTAATCATATTCTTGTAATTTTCCTTGGTTAAAGTTGGCTGAAACCGGAACTCCTGTTTGAAAAGTATATTTATTAATATGCTATTTAAAAACCAATTGTTTAAGTTAAAAGTCTAGCCTAAGCAATTATCGCATTATATATGTGAGACATGTGTAGGTCCACTGATAGTTACTGTTATGTTCCAAAGAACTGTAATTCCTCGGCAGTTATTGTTTCCAGATAATTAATCGTTACTAAATTTGAAATTTAGGATAGAACAACAAGGACTTTTACTATAAAAGTTAAGAAACAGTTGTTTTAGATTCTAAACTTTAATAAACAAACATTCGAGAAAATCGTTACTAGCAACAACAGTTGATACAGGCCTAGTCACAAACTCCAAGGTCCTATAGACAGAACCATACTGCAAAGGTTAATCTTGAACCCTTCAGCTTGTAATAACCTCTGCTTTCTTTTCTATCAGATGAATCTATCAGAATCAACTTTATGGTACGTTGTTTGATACTTAACATCCGAAGATAGATGGAGAGATTTGTTCAATGTTGTGAATCTCTTTCTGTTAAACAGGACTAATAATGATGATGATGATTGATTTTCTATACTTAATTACTACTTTTCTTGTGCATACGTCATTATTTGCAAATGGAGCAGATGATGTCACATGGTCGACCGACCAAGGTAATTCACAAAACACCTACTATATAACACCATTAGTGGCACTCAATTATTCTGGTAACATATGGTTATATGAATATAATTCATCATCACAAGATCTTACTATTTTGGGTATTGCTGCCGGAACTAATGGTGATGTTTATTTTTTTCTAAGTGAAACAAGATATCGTTTAAGTAAGTAACTTAAAAGTTGTATTTGTGAATCCTTTTAATAGTCAGTTTCTAAGACACCGCATAGTGTGATGGTGATTCATCGTTGATTTAGCTGATTCAAGCCAAAAAATAATTTTTCCTTATACCATTTTTGAATGCAAATTGGCAGGACGATCTGACGATTTGTATTTCTAAAGCATCATTTTTCTTCAAAATAAACACCAAATTGGTAATCAAAGACTAAAATGAATTGGATAGTGTAGTACATGATAATTTTCTGACAAAAGGATTATTCATAGAATTTTGACCACTGGCAGTTTTCCGATGGAAACATATTTTTAGCATAAACAAATTTTTGTTGATTTTCAGTCACATGTGCTTAAGTTCACTTTCTGTTGATAAAAAAAGCAAAATTCAGAATACAAAATATTTTCACAAGTAAACTGCTCAAGAAAGTGACTCCAGACCCAGAAACTAGTGTTCTGCGGCTTCTTCGATCCATTTTAGGGTACGGAAATATGCCCGTTCCCTCACTACAATCATCGAGAATGGTTTATGTAATTTTTGAAAACTAATTCACCTCAGCTGCCCTACAGCTTCATTTATGACACAGCTATTTTTTAAGTTGACTTCATGATTTGTATAAATCCCAATGGTATTATTCGTTGGAAAGTTTATATTGAACATGTACCAGATATGATTCCAACAGGTGTTTCAAATATTGTTGTCGATCGAAATGGTACAATTTATTATATTGTTTCATGGGCAAACAGTCAATCATATACAGCTAACTTATGTCGTATTACACAAGCAAATACAGATTATCCAAATCAACTGTGTGTTAGAAATTACCAATTATTTGGTGGTATAACTCAGCCATTAGCTTACAACGAAATATATGATTTACTAATAACTGCTGTTGTTGATAATAAATTTGGATCTGTATCAGCAGCTATTGACAAAACATCACTTGAGATTCTATGGATAAATAGACATTATTTTGGTGCTGGTACAGGTGGCCATTATAAAATTGATAATGGAACAGGTTATATGTATTGGATTGGGGATGATGATTATCTTCTCAAATTTGATCAAAAAGGTAATCATACTTTGATTGATGGATTAGTAGAAATTGTACATAGTAAACCATCCCAAATAAATTATTACATGTAGAGCAAACCAAGCAAGAAAAGGGAAGAGAGAAACTACCATTTTTCGACAAATAAAGTCCTTACTCGCTTGTTTGTGTAAAAGAAACCACATTGGATCTTATTAAATTTTGCACCCAAATAGTCTAAAAATACATCATCCTGTAAAAATCAATAAGTCGATTATTTCTTCCATGTTTCTTTTGTCTTAGCGACGCTCAAGTTTTTCCAAAGGACTAGTAACATTTTACAAAAAATTGCTTTTCTTCACTAAGTCTGTTATATCGATAAAAAAAGAAACATTTTAATTTATGCTCCATTTTTGCTAATTTGTCTTGTAGTTAAGTTTGTCTGCCATCTTTAGTCAGCGTGTAAGAGAGCGGCGTGGCCAGCTAACTCTACTGCTGCAAGAAAATTCCGTGACGTTTTTTCCACATTTTGTTGTGTCAATATATACTAAATCGGAACACGCAGAAAGTCGCGAGATGTCTTAAATTGAAGAGAAAAGTCTTGTAAGCCTTCTGTGACGTATCTGCACTCTATAAAATGCCTAGATATTAATAAAACATTGAGTACTACTTTTCGATTCTGAAGAATTTGAATTTTTGATAGTACTCAATGTGGATGATAACACTTTCACCACGTTAATTTTCTTCACATACATCTCACAAAAAGAACTTTCATCATACATGACGAAAGTGTATGGTATTTTTGAGGGGTTTGTAACATATCTACAACTTTCGTCACAATCCAAAAAGAACTACTGGACTACTCCAGTTTGGACTAGAACTGCTTGCATTTGGACTACTCTAATTTGGACTGCTGCAGTGTGGACCACCTCAGATCGAACTACTCACAAACACAATGGACGCGTGATTTTTCTACTTTGGCTCTAGAAAAAGACTTCAAAAGGGTTTTACGCGTTTCTCTAAGAAAATGCAATGTTTGTAAAGAAAAAAGCAAGAAGTTATTACTCCAATTTGCACTGCTACAGTTTGCATTACCGCAGTATGGACAACTCCAGTTTGCACTACAACACTTTGGACTAATGAACTTTGCATTAAACCTTGATTTCATCGCAGCCGTTTCATGCAACATGTGGCGAAAGTGCCGACCTGTCTAAAAACCCAGACACTTTCGTCACAACTGAAAACGAACTTTCGTCACATAACGGGTTAACTTTCGTAACCACTATTCGAACATGGTTAAACTTTCGTCACATGCAGGGTTAGTTTATAAAACTCGGTAAATGAATCCTCATACATCCATTTTTTACTTTCTCACACGGACATTTGAAACTAAGTACAAGATGACGGGTTCTTTGTTCATTCTTTTCGCCTGAAGCCTCATTTGTGGTCCAAATATTGGATCTGGTCTCGAGCTACTGTCGGAAACTATCCCACATCCTGCAACAGGGGGCTTTTTCTTGCATTCTCAGGCACATACATCCCAGCAGATGATATTGTCTCGAATTCCGTAATGATTCCTCTTACATGTCAAGGAGGTCATCTCGTACCATGGCAGATTGTCTAAACGTTAAAGGGATGCTCCAATTTTACCGAACAGCGAAGAAAACGTATTATATTTGACCTTACCAATCTTGGTGTTGGGACTGCGGCTTTGACAGCTTCAGCAGCGAATCATTTACAGCTCTCCCGTCTGCCTTCAATTGTTCAGAAGGTCTTTCTTCAATATTTATGTACACCTACTACATATAATACTCAGCAGAATTGCGCGATCATTCCTGGACTTCGCTATAGGTTTCCAAAAAACTTTGGTTTTTCCGTTAAAATCGAATTTTCTCGGCCTATTAACACTCTTAACCCGAAACTAAGGTTATATTTAGAATCAGTGTGAAAAACTGTATCTAATAATGTATGAACCACACCTTTTTAGATAAAAACTCTTTTATAGAAAATTGGGGTAAGGTCTCAGCGATATTTGTGTAAAAAAAAACCTGTTTTTTGCTCTGACGTGACTTTCTGAGGAATAGCCAGCTATCTTCAAGCGGAAAAAATTGTTTCTGACCAAAAAAGTGACATGTCCGCCTGGCATCGAAAAATGAACACTGTGCCTTCTCTGTAGGAAACTCTCGCCGTTGCACTCAAAAAAATATTTTATTAAATCTTGAGGATGAGATTGTTGTCGGTTATTAGGCACACTTGTCAGGGCCCATTTTTCAGTTCTATGACGTTTTATTCTTCAGAGAAGATCGATAATAACTCTTTGAAACTCACTAATTATCAGAGTTTTAGATTATGAAATTTACCACTAACATTGAATGAAATTTTTGGTGACTTCTATGATAGCAGCTTCTTGGGTTGGGAAAAAGCCTATTCTGAAAACAGTGCTGACATACCAATACAAAACTTGCATATTTTTTCATGAAATTTCAAGCAAATATGTCTTCTTTTGTAGTGGTGATGATACTGTGCTGCGAAGTTTGAATGATTTTTTAGAGGTTTGCAGAAAAGCTGATAACATTGATTTATACTGGACATCTGGCCTGTGACTGAATAAATGCATTTAAGCGTCCTTTTTGAAGTCTCCATAACGACTATCGGCCATGTACACTTATATCTGTGCACTGTTTCTCTCCTTTTTTTTAATTAAATAGGTATTATGTTACTTAATGGCTATGTGAATTCCGGTTGTCGACGTCAATTTGTATTAGATAATGATCGTCAAATAATTGTTCATCCATGGCAAAACATGACTGATATACATTGGCCAATAATTGTTTCATCATGGGATGTATCTTCAAATAAGTTGGAATTGCGATGGCATTGGTATCCACCAAAATCCATAAATGATCATAATTTTATGACGCAGCCAACAATGGATGAACGAGGCACCACATATCTTGTTAGTATGCCATCAGCATTTTCTATTAATTCAAATGGTCAAACATTATGGATCAGTGAATTAGCAACAAATGATGAAATGAGACAATTTGAATTGATCTCTATATGCTTATCCGTGAATTTACGTGCACGTGTTATGTATGCTGTTATTGGATCACCATTGTATCATGAGGGTGATAGTTTATATTTTATTAGTGCTTTAAATATGGATAATGGAAATGTACTAAAACGTTATGAACTAAATATTGATAGTAAATCAAAGATAACTCCGCATTGTCCAATTTTAATTGGTAGTGATATGTTTTATTTCTTCTGGTTAACTGGTGAATATCCAGGTTTAGTACCATTGAAAGTGTCAGGTGTGCCTCAAATAAAACTTTAAGTACGCTGCAATAGGCTTTAAATGTAATGAATGTTCCGGGCGTACAACAGGATTTCAAATTGTATTTACTCGCTTGTTAACCACATGTTGTTGTTGAGTTTCACATAAAAATTGAATACACATTAGAATCGAGTTGTTTATAATGACAGATCATGTACAGTCTGCTGAAAAACGACTAAAACAGATCTAGAAGGCCTCCACTTTTCAGAGCTGTCAAATTATCATTATACAGTATAAGGATGACTTTCCAGTCAAACTCAGTCTCAGGAATTTCAGAATCTCTACACCGTCCGAATTTCAGAGGAATTTCACAAGTTCACACTGTGATTACACTCTGAATGCCAAAACGTTTAGAATTTCAGAATTCCAGGAATTTCAGAAGAATTTCAGAAGTTATCAGTAATTGACAATATTGATGCATGCGAAATATTTATTAGCAAAGCGCAGAAAAGTGAGAAGGTAAGTACATGAATGATCACTCATTTACTGCAAGGTTAGTTCGAAATTGTAATTTTAATTAAATTGACGAGTAGATTAACTATACATTAGTTTTTTAGAGTACTCTTATTGTCTCTGATGAATTTGCTCAACAACTTTTGTTTCGTGTACATCAGTTGTCACCATTAAAATCTATCTATATCTTCTGTTCCAAAGCGGAAGTTCAGCATATATGGGCAAAAATCTATAATAAGGTAAATGTTGGTAAGTTGATACGTGTAAAATCTTGTCTGTTCTTCTGTTAGATAAGAGGTCTATCTACAAGTATAAAAGAATTGATTGAAAAATCCAAAAGTATTAAAAATCACCAAAAGTGTGATGACTCTCAATTATCAACAATATTCTTTATCGAAAATGGCAATAGTGGAGATAATCATAAATAGCTTTTATCGGAAAATGGAGATTATATGTGGTTGCAATTGTTTATTAATGAACTATCAAATTTGAAAAAGGACACTAAATTAGAAGAAAAAGTGAAAAAAGAACTTAATGAAATGTAGCGAAAATTGTATGCTGATGATAAAACAACATTGGAAAATATCAATATATTCGAAGAAATGTATGAGTCAACAGATGCACTATACTTTATACAAAAGAACCTTTTATTTACATTCTTCTTAATTGAGCACTTCGTCAATATGATCTTGAAAGGATATTAAAATATTATTTTATAATACGGGATATATATCACGTGATATATGATAGTGAACGCACTTTTGACGAAGAACGAAAAGCGGAAGCACCAAAAAATAGAAATATATTCCGTAAAACGTTTGTCTTAGAATAAATATGATACAGTTAAATCTAATTAAAATGAACTGGACAGCTAGAAATTGTGTTCGACGACGAAGGTGGAAAAAAAATGTGTATATATTATAGGTTCTTTTTGTTTTTAGGATAAATGTTTTCACTCTCACTCACTCCACACGAAATACAATATTTTTCATCTTCGAATGTTTGTTGCGGTTCTTGCTGCTTCAACCTCTTTCCATGGACGTCCAAAAGAACCGATGGATAATAGGCATGAGTCATTTTGTAAAACTATCTAATTCTTTTTGTGAAGCGATGGGACCAAGTATCATATGCCATTCGATTCGCCTTGAACTCGTATGATATTGGGGATCAGAATCAAAAGTTGAATCGATTGATGTGTAACTCTATCCTATGCGAGTACTTTAATTTTTTTCCAATTTTCACGTTTGAAAATCATCGAGATTTTCACCAAAAAATGAAAATCAACTAAAATTTCAAAATACACATCAGTCGATTAACTTTTTGACCATGATTGCAAATAGAACACAGAAGTTGAGTTCTGATGAAGAAAATGGAGAACTAGGCAGAATTTCGACTTTTCCGGCTATGATTTAGAAAAAATGAATTTTCTCAGCAATGAAACAAAATTTTAAAAAAAACCACACGTACTTTTAAAGCTGAATTCACGGCGAATCGAATGGCATATGAAACTCGGTCAATCAATTTTCTCAACAACGGAACAATGTTTTCCAAAACCGATGCTTAACTTTTTTCGTGCTATTATGGCAAGTGGAATGATATAAAAATATTGACTTCATCTCCTATCTAGAGAGACTTGAAGCTTTTGGCGCGAAAACTTGCGGGTTTTTAGTCATTGAAATAGGCGTCGTGTTTTCGAGGTATTGAACATGTGCTATACTCTTAAAAAATACATTTTCGGATCCAGTTTTCCGCGTAGATTAAGAAAAAAAATATTTTAAAGCTATAAGACATGCTTTAAAAAAAAATTTTAGGGCGCTTTTTCAAAAAATAGTCATTTTTTTTTTACACAAGGAAAAGAGAAAGACAAAATGTATATTTATCCAATAAAATTCAGCCATTTCAGCAGCAATGATTCCTATATTTCAGTTTTATTTTTTACCCATTTTTGCTGAAAAAAGTGGCTCATTCCATCTTTTTTTAAAATTGTTTCAATAAAAAACATTATTATAAAAAAGAGAAAAAACGAAGTCACATTTATACATACTATCTAGCCTTTTCTTTAAACATATTTTTTACATAAAACGTTAGATCATTTTCTTTTGTAAATGAGAAAAGATTTTTACTGGAAACGAAGTGGCATCGGTGTATAAGTCGAATGCCGACTCTGAACTTTCTGAAAAATAAATCGTTCTGTAATAAATATAAATCCTTCTGCCGCAGTACATCAATGGACACTTCCCGGTTATTTTTTAATCACTTGAGTAGTATTTTCTAAGGAATGGCTTACGGTATATCTCAGCGATAAATTTTCTGTCCTGGTGAAACCTAAATACTTGAAGGCTTTGACTTGTTCTAATATTTTATTATTCATAAAAATATTTATGTGAGGTGGTGTGACTTGTGTATGAAAAAGTTGTATTACTGTTTTTTCGACATTTATTGGCTGTTTCCAAAGTTTAAAATAGCCCGCTAACTGACTCATTACACACTTTTGTTTCTTCTTTTCTAAATATTCTAACATTGGTTTTAATTTCTTATTTATCGGTGGAGTTATTAAGACATTCGGATCATCGGCAAAAACATGTCCTGAATGCGCGCCTACACAAAAGATCAGATCGCTATGAAAAACAATGAATAGAAACGGATTTAAACTACTGCCCTGTGGCAAACCTATGTATAAATAAAAGACCTTCGATCTCTTTTCGCCTAAGATAACATACGCTTTTCTATCGCTTAACCAAGAATAAACTCTCATAAAGGCGCCACCATATCTCGAAAGCGACTTTCACCTTAACACTATTTCGTAACTGCAAGATTTCTCGATAACGAACTATCACAAAGAGCCCGAAAAGGCCTTAAATTGAAGCTGATACATGTGGCTAGAGGCTAATAGAGCCCAGTTTTTGATATTCGGTTTAGATTTGTGATTAGAAAAACATCTTTACCAAAGTTAATGAAACTTTTTCGAATTTTGGACTTTTGACGCTAACCATTAATTTGAAAAGAAAAATACCAAAAATCCAGCTCTATTAATCTCTAGTGAAATGTTTTCTTTTTTCAATTTAAGACCGGCCCGAGCTCACCACAACGTTTCGTTACTGAGAAATCTCGGAGCTACAAACAGTCTAGATAAGAGAAGATACTCGTATCCTTATAACAATAAGAGTAAAAAAGCTCAAATTCTGGCATGTGATAGGTAGAAACACCTTGTATGCATACTGTTAATATCAGCCTTCTCCACTAAAGAAATATGTAAAACAATAATATTGATTACGCGGATCAGGACTTAGTACCCACCCTTTATGAATCTCCATTTCATAGAATGTGAACCTGCTTGATGTTCTTCTATTGGAACTTTTAATCAAGATGAACGATAGAACAACAATAGTTGTAGCCACTAGTAACATAACAACACCAAGTAGCACTATGAATGTTGTTGTCGATAACAAACTTGTTGAACTTTTGCTAAAAGGTTATATAAATAAAATATGAATAAAACAACAAAATTAAAATGTATCCCATAACTGGGCTCTCTATATCTTCGCCTGAATAAACATGAACGTTTCGTGCAGATCTCATCTCATCAGAATCGATGGAAAAACTGATACTCGTTGTTAGTGTATTGATTTGAGAGTAAACTTTCTGACGTATTGCCAATGTTTCAATAAGATAATTCAATGACCAAATGTTTTCATTCGTCAATAAAGGGTGGGGCAGAAGTCCTGACCTGATTTGAATAATAAATTTTTCTGTAATAAAACAAGTGGTGGTAAATTTGTCTATGAAGAGGATATGCAGTGAAACATGCTCTACAAAATGATTACACATCAAATTTTTCACATCAAGACCCACGACCAAATAATAATTTTTCTGTCGGTTCTCATGCATTTTTTCGTTAATTTTTTAAATTCTTCGTATGGTGGTGCATTCAGTAAAAGTCTCACAACTCTATCAAAGCAAAAGATTTTTCGATCGGGTTTGTTTTGTTTTGATCAGAAATGATTGCTCTTCTCTACCTAACTGCAAAATCAAACTTCGTTCACGTTTTCTGTTTCTTGTTTAGGTACATTGTCGGAAACGCGGATTGTCGATTTTTGACATATCTTCCACACTTCATTCTCGAGCACACGATCTGCTCTTAAAAAATCTTTCTACAGACAACAAGAAAGAGCACATTTGAAAGTACCAAACACGAACTGAATTCTCACTTTTGCTAAGCTGCTTTTGTCGAAATAATAGCAGAAGAAAAATTCAAGTCGAAAAAAGTACCAAATTTACAAAGTTTTCACGTTTTCGCCTTTCCTATAAACTGCGTAGTTTTCTTGATTGAAGTTCTGAAATTAAACTTTCGCTATGATTTTGTGGAGAATTTCGGCGTCATGACCAAACCGCATCTGCGTCCTTCTCGATTTTGCGGCCTGCATTTTTTTATCCATCCGAAAAAAAACTACCCATGTACTCCCAATTTACGTATTTACATATTAAGATATTTCGAAAAACACACCCACCAGATATTTCGATATATAGATATTTGGAAATACACCCAC